AGTTTCCCTGAAATTTGGTTAACCATTCGTTTGCAGGACCGAATCATCTACTCAAGCGGTGTGCGTCGCTGTGCAAACACGTCGCTGTGCAAACGCAGTCCAACAACACGAAACATAAAGCGGAAGATCTAGGACAACAATCCGGAGTCCATTGTTCAATTTAAAAGACGTAATTTTGTTGAAAACGCCCGCAGCTTTTTACTCACGGTATGCGTCGGGATACTTCCACATTTTGAAACGGAACGAAGGAAGATTTACTTTTAAAGACGCTCGCTGCGTCCTCCGGACCAGCTGGACCGGATCAGCTGACGACGACGGGACTGAACCCGTAGAACAACCCCACAACAACCAATTCGCGCTCCGTGTCAGCGTGGCTTTCTACCTTCAAGCACCGCACCACGCACGACGAACGTTTCAGTTCTTTTTCGCATCGCCGTGTTGCACTAAACAGAACGAGATCGCCGAAGTCAACGCAGCGCTGTCGTGAACCTTTACTTGTGGTTGCGCACTCGTGGACCCAGTGACTCCCTTCGCGTTCCAAGCACACACGATGACTACGGGTGATACTTTCCGCCTTCCGGGAATATCACGGGGGCACTTCTCCGGTCACGTCTTCGCTGCATGTGCTCGCAAACCGAGCAGCTTCCCCCCTTCCCGTCCAACCAAAACAATACCGGCGCCATGTTAAACGTGCGTTGTTAGATTTTCTCCGACCAAATAAAAACAACTAAAGCAAACCGGCTCTAGCTTCCAGCGTACCTGGACGTTGCGCCGTGGCCAGATTTTCTCTGTCAGCTCTAACTTAAAGGGGCACTGACACCCCAAAGGTCGTATTTATTTTTCTTGTCTAAAACAATGCAAGTTGCAGTCATAGACACGCAAAAAAAACCGCTTCGCGCAAAAATATTTTCCCGCACGCGCGCGTGCCTTTTTATTTTTGGCGTTTGATTTTCCCGCTTCTCGCCTCCTCGCTTTTTTTGATCGGTGACGTCAAGAATCATGAAATTTAGAAGCTTCGTAGGCGACATCTCTATAACATTTAATTACGGCAATCCTAAAACATGTTTTTTAACGCAATTGCGAACGCACTACGGCCCTTCTTTTTGAAATACCAAAAATCGGGAGTCCGTTGTGGTGCCGTCTCCTGGATTTGTATCCTCCAGCGGAAAACAGGCGACACCGCTCAAAACCGGTCCGCCGGAACGCCGCCGCTCGCTCCTTTCCCCCTCACTTTGGGTCGCCATGGCAACAGCAGGGAGTGGTGAAAGAAAGGGGACTCTCAGGTCTCCGGAATTTTTGACGTCAAGGCACCGGCGCCGATCGCGCGGGAACTTCGAATTCGGACTTTGGAAATTGTTTTTTTACTTCACGAATACTGAATTCCCAAATTTCAAATTTTGAGGGTAATGTCCCGGCATCGTTTTCAATCGTTTCGGATAATAAAAAAAATATGATTTTGATGTGTCAGTGCCCCTTTAAAGACGACCTACAGATGCAGCAACACTGGCCACAGTTTATCATGTACAGTTTGCCCACTGTAGATTAAGCCTGTGGTAATCGGGAGACATGGTGTTGAGAGTATTTTTGCATGCAGCGCCCCTCACCACATATCGCGGACTAAACAGCTTTTTATGCTTCTGTTTTGTTTTTTTGCTTTCAAAGATGGCGGCCCCCATGGTATTTTGGTTCCCTTGTTCCTCGCGTTCTCCCGTTGCATATTGCTTTAATTTGAAGCGCCCGTCACAGAACACCATTTCCAGGCGATCACATCCAGACAAGAAAGCATTTTTTCACGTAGGGAACTCTTTATTGGAACTCTGCGTGGTATAATTCAGTCAAAAAGTGTCACAAACATAGACAACCTGTAATGCAGTTTGGCGCTACACGTTGCGCCATCTAGCGGCTGAAAAATAAAGAAACTGGGTAGGTTAGGCCTGCGCGGTTCGCGGGGGCTCCGGGTGGGTGCATCCAGAAACCACGTGTGAACGTTGCATTTCGGATCGGCGTGTGCTTCTTGGAACCGTTTTTCGTAAAAGTAACTTCCAACTTCACGTCTCTATGGCCTCACCGGGTTCCTGTAACATCTCGCCAACTCCTAGAGTTCCCCCGAAAAATAAACATTGCTTCTGCTACGTGAAAGATGGCCACAGTCACGAAGGTGACTCAAGCGTCAAACTTCACCGCTTCCCTTCGAGATTTTGGGAAGCGGCACGGCGACAGAAGTGGATTACTGCGGTGCGACGTATCAAGTAAGTGAATTTTGCAGAAATTGCTGGGGGGATGTGAACGAAAATATATGTGCAGGCTCGGAAAGTGGTCGAACGAACTCGTTTTCAGACTACTCGGCAAAATAACATATTTATACAAGTTGTATTACGAGTCGCTTTGACAGCCACATAGGAAAATACAATAGTAACAATCGAGCCGATTGTTGCTTCGCTGTGACGTCAAGAATCGGGCGATCAGGTTTTTGTAGCAAAAGGCTCGAGGCCCGTTCCGGCACTGCTAATGCCGTTCGGCACGTGTGGTCGCAACCAAAACCTTCCAAACCTATGAGTTTTCCAATAGCGGATTTTAGTAGCACAAAGTTTCGTTTGTTTCAGCAACGAAATGTAATGCTGAGTCTGGTAACAAATGTGACGGCGTGCAGAAAGCAGGATGCTAAAGTTTTTCTTTAGAAAATCTCGTGCGAAGCGTAAATATCTTTCTCACACGTACATTTTGTGGCCTGTCGCCTCTTTACACCAGACTTTGCAATGTGCATACGGTTCTGTAGTATGCAGAGTTTGGTTCTAATTACCCACATCTTATTTTAGTGTCTGTGGGCGTCAGGAGGAGAGGACGGCCGAGCGAGGCGCTGGCGTGGGCCAGCCGGCGAGGAAAGAGGAAGAGCGTGCTGCACGATGCTGGGGCCGGGCAGGAACGATAAAGACGTTTTGGCTGGTCTTTCCACAGATCATAACCCAAAACTTGTAAAAATGGAGTGCAGTTGCCCTTCAAGCAATGCAAGCATTGTTTGCATTGCTTAAACATTGCTTAATGTCACAGCTCAGACTGCTTCTTTTGGTCTAAACATATGTTTCGGCATCGTCATTCGCTTAGCTGCCTCCGTAAGTTGCGCTCATTGACTCTCCGAGTGCTGTGCGGGAAAGTAGACGCACAGAATGTCATACGCATCTCTTTCGCCTCGTCATCACGCTCCCTAGGAAGGCAGCGCCAATCCTTTTAGTTTATTTCTTATCACTTGTCCAACGGGAAAAGCTTGGTGGCGAAGCGCCAATAAAACCAGCTTCTTCGGAATCACTGCGTTGCTGAGTCGACCCCACTCCATCGGAGTCTACAGCAGTCTTCGACAGCGAGCTACGTATAGTGGGATCCACTTCGCCGTGCATCTCTGTGCATTTTACAGCAGCCCAAGGAGAGTACTGAGATTTAACCGAAGTGCCGGCTCTGGAGTCCTGTCAATTCATTTATAATCGCCGACAACTTAACAAACACAGGGAGCCGCTTATTAAAATACTCACAGACCTTGCTTCGTGATTTGCTCTTCGATACCGTGATCGGCAAACTCTGCAATCTTGTCGGGTGCGAAGGGATAAGGACATGCTCTGGACCGGCCACGCTTCACGTGGTCAGTGAGCATAGAATAGAGTTCCCTTCCTAACATGACACCTCGTCAAGCGGATTAGATGGTCAGGTCGAACCAAACATAAAATGACAATAAAAAGGTTGACGTGATGGCACATCGCAAAGTTGGTTACTTTTAAATGTTTTTTCTTTCTTTTTTTTTTCAGATCGTAGAGCTATTTTAATAAATGATGTACTGGTTCGTAATGTTCTTTCGTTTTTGTTGTATCAGTAATGAAAAACCTAAGTGCTCTGCATGAATTTTTCAGAATCAATGGCACTCATGTTTTTTAAGTGATTTGTTTCGTTTTATAATCCCCTGCGCAGTCGCTGACTGTGCAGGTATTCAACTCCCACACCATCGACTCTGAGGAGTGCCATTATAGTCGGTAACAGATGAAGAAGGAAGTGGAAGCTCCTCCCATCTTTTTTCCACTCCAGTAGACCCAACGCTGGAGAGGAGGCGGCCGCCTCTCCACCATTCGCTCTACTAAAGCGGAATGAAATGAGAGGTTCCTCCACTTTCTGTTTAACCTGTTACCAACTAGAGGACTCGCCCTTCGTAGCCCCTCTCGCTGGCACTTTTACGGGGTTTCATTTATTCCTTACCGGAAACCTGGATTTGGTCCAGCGCATCCGCGAGGCGACCTCCGATCACGTTGGCAGGCACACCGCTGAAGCAACTTTTATTTACGTAGAAGAGCGCCCCGATACCCTGCGGAATAGTACATAAGAAAGTGAGAAAAAACAACTAACCCGGCCGAGGTATGACAACTCAAGGACCATAACTTGTTCGCACACTTCGTTTTATCTTACGTCCGGACGTTGGCGACGCTACGACGTGGAGTGACGAAGGTAACGACGTCATCACCGCAGGTCGGCGGGCATTGAATGTACTTGATTGGTTCAACGATGACAGAACACTCATCGTATCAAGGCGAACGCCACGTTGGAGCTCTTTTGACGCTGTTTGATTGGTCCAATACGCTCGTAGCGTCGACTGCCTCCAGCCTTACAGTGAATTGAAGTTTTACAGCGAGGCCGGATGGGGCAAGCGCACAAAAACCACGAGCGCCTTGACGATGCAATTATAAGAGCTGCTCGAATCACTTCATCGGAGCGTCGCATCGGCTGCACTGAAACTCGGAGTGAAACCAAGTTTAATCATGATTGACATTTTAGTCATGCCAAATTGTAAGTGGCGAAAATTTGAATATAACTATCTGCGAAGATGCATAGTTTCGAGAAGAAGGTCTCTGTTTTTCGTATTATCTCTGACAGGGCCGTTCCGGTCACGCTCCTACCGCAAAGATATGATATGGCGCTCCATATCAAGCCCCACCGTGTCCTGAATGCTATCTTTCGGTGACACCTCAGCTCCCCAGCAATTGTGCCCATATTACACACCGTGACGGTCGCAAGGTACGTACTGATTTTAGCTATACGAACAAACATATTTTGTTAACGCAGTAAAGGGAAGCCTACAAGCTCTCCGAAGGGAGATAAAAACTAAACCATGGCGTAAAACATATTGAAATTTAACTATTACAATGAACTTCCTCTTTTGTTTGGCTTATATCACGTATGTTTCGCATGTCTATTCAGAGTCTAAAATACCCGCAAAACTAAGGTCTATATCAAATCCTTGAAATAGGCATTGGATATGGTATTTACATCAGAATAACGCGGTGCTGCATCTTCGCGAAGCGTAAGCTCGTGTGCTTGAGAACACGAGCCTAAGCTTGGGAACACGAGCAGCTTGGGTTGAATACCCACCCCTGCCCGTTTCAATCTGGTTGAGCGGCTTTTGGCGTGCGGTCGTGTATCACTACTGAGTGATTCATGTTGAAGACCCCAGGCTAGCGGTTGCACTGCACTGGCTAAATTGCTAAAGCTGAGACACCAGCCGTTTATTGGGGCTGGCGAACTTATAATTGCAGGTTTATATTGAGCTGCTTTTTCATTTCATAGGCAAAGTTACATAAGGCAGAAAACAATGCAAAATCACTATGAAAAATTTCATGAAGTCGGACCCCAAGCAATTTAGGAGTTATCTCTGTCCCATAAAAAAACCCTTATCAAATCTTGAAGTTGACGGTGAGGTCGTTAATAATCCACAGGTTATGGCCAATGTATTCAACACTCTCTTTCGGTCCGTGTTCTCAAGTAACGTGCCTAAACTTCCTGGTCACGGTGTGAGAGGCGGTGTTGGATACAACGGACCTATAATGACAAATATTTCTATTTCAGAACAAGGCTCTTTTTTTTTCTCTTTTGTTGCAACTTAAAGTGCAGAGGTCTGGGGGACCCGATAACATTCTAAACGCATTCTTAAGACGGTACGCTGAGTGGGTTTCAAAATATCTAACGCTTATCTTTAAAGCTTCGTTATCGCAAAGTTCCGTACCCTCCGACTGGCAATGCGCTAAAGTCGTGCCTATTTTTAAAGCTGGCAACAAATCATCCCCAACCAATTATAGGCCAATACGACTGATTAGTGCCAGCTGTAAAATAATGGAACACATTGTCTCAAAGTCATTATACGACCACTTAGAAAACAATAAACTTCTCTATAAAAACCAACACGGCTTTAGACGAAAACTTTCAACGGTTACCCAGTTAAGTGAATGCACTCCCGACTTTTGCAAATCTATTGATGCCGGGGGACAAACTGACGCAATATTTCTAAATATCTCGAAGGCTTTTGATCGAGTCCCGCATAGACACTTGACAAAACAACTTTAATTAATTGGAGTCAGCTCGGAATCGGTTAATTAGATAAGTGCATACCTCAAGGAAAGAAGACAATTTGTTGAAATCAATAGTACCGCATCCTGCGCTTTACCAGTATCATCGGGAGTCCCACAGGGCTCCGTTTTGGGTCCGGTTTTATTTTTAATATATATTGATGACATTGCGCAAGCCAATAATGATTCGATTATGGTATACGATTATTTGCCGATGACTGTCTTCTTTACACAGATATCAAAACTAGCGAGGATCAAACTAATTTGGACAGCGCTCTATAAAAAATTGGGTCACGGTGCCAAGAATGGGGGATGGTAATTAATATTGACAAAACTGTACTTCTAAGGATATCCAGTAAGAAAAATATTCTACCTTATGCTTACAGAGTTAACGGGTCTCCTTTAAGAGAAGCGAATAGCTATAAATATTTGGGTGTAACAATTGAAAATAACATAAATTGGGGGAGCCACGTTAACAACATCTGCTGTTCTGCTTAGCGTACATTAGGATACTTGAAAAGGAATTTTAGATATGCGACTATGAGTGTTAAGCTGATGGTCTACAAAACAGTCATACGACCAGTATTAGAGTACGCAAATGTAATATGGGACCGTCAGAAAAATCCCACTTAGAAATTAGAGAACGTACAAAGACTTTCAGCTCGGTATATACTCTCATGATATAGACGAACGGACTCTGTCACCGGCATCTTAAAACAGCTTGACCTTATACCTCTCTCTGAGCGTCGAAGGAATGCAAGACTAAAGTATATTTTTATGATGTATCATGGTTTTTCAACATTGACTACACCCTGTATATAAAACCCCGCATAACTCGCATTCTAAGAAATAGCCATTCTAAAATGACCCAGCCTTTTCAAAGTAAGTTAATGTATTTCACTGTTCTCTCTTTCCTAAAACAATGGATGAATGGATCCTTCTACCGCAGGCCATTGTAAACTCAAGTTCCCCTACAGAGTTTTTAAATAATTTGAAGCGCTTGCAGAACTAGTTTGTTCATGTTACTATTGAGTGGTGCATGCCGTTTGCTAGTTTAATAATGTCGTATTTGTAATATGATTGCAAATTATACTTGTTGACGCGGTGTTTCTCGTTTTCCTGCAGCTGTTTATTTCTGTATATTTTTGCACTCTTCTGTAATGTATGCGGTGTTCTTGTTTGGTGCTGTTGTTTATTACCGTTCATTTTTTTACCCTCTCCTGTAATGACCCCAAGAGGGGTTAACAGTATCTTGAAGTAAATAATAAATAAATATTTTCGATCCTATAAAACAATATCTAATAAAACAGGTTAGACAGCACCAGAACGCAAAAATAACGCTTCACACACTCCCAAATGTTTCAAGTAAAGACACGCAGGCCATGCCCACTTTCCTTCTCGGGACGAGCACTGAGGAGGACATGATAATTGGCATTAATGTAATTTTAATTGTAAATTAACGTAAAACTGGTAAACGAACATTACTTTTATAATTGGTTATTTTATACTATGCGACTTAAATCTTAAAATGAATGATGACATATAAATGATTGCAAAGCCGCAAATAAACACTATGATGATTGAAAACTCCTTCACTTTCTTTGAGACCGGGAAGCTTGGTTATTCATGATGGAACTCTAAACTACGCTGTTCTGTCTGTTTTGTCTTTTGTGTGCGCGTTCTTTGTTCTTGACTCGCATTTAAAGCCTGCAATACAATTTTATTTGTTCCTTTGCAGATTCGCACGCAAAATGTGGATGATAATTGTGTTCTGCTGTTTCGTTGTTTGTAAGTACACAGAGATACAGTGATCTTGAAACAACATATTGTCGAATATCATTTAGTTTATTTTTGGTTTTCAGTTATCGAAGTGACCCGTAGTATTATCTAATATTATAAGAGCCAAACATGCAAATTAAACGGTACTGGAAGAAAGTAAAAAAAAAAAAAAATTCGAGGCTGATTGCTAATATACGGTATTGTCTTTGCGTGTCTCTGTACATCGTGCGTATATTGCACGACTATGTTGTCGTACCTTACGTATTTTCAATGACACGTCTATGTCATCTTAAATACGAGTTCAGGTTGCTTCATAGTCATCTAACGCATCAAGTTACTCTATATGCAAACAGATCGTACGAATTTTTAGTTGTTTTAGTGGCAATAAATTTTGAACTCCACCTTTCTAACGAACAATTAATGAGAAAAACGCCCAAAAGACCCATCATCTTTGTCTTTGAAAGAAAGACGGTCGCGTACGCTATCAAAACAACAGCCTTAACCCTAAATAGAGTTTCGTGTTTTGGGGATTCTGTTTATTTTTGTTTAGTTCGGGGGGCTTTCTGTGGAGTTTATTTCCCCATAGATGTGATGTTTTCCGGTGTACATTTTTGGCGTCGGAAAGATTTGGCGTTTATTGGGGCTTATTTGTCCGATAAAACAGATCACGGGCATAGGATCTCCCTACATTCAGGGAACATGCGCGTTATCCGCACATTCAGAGAACGCCCCTGTACCGATAAGAGGATGAAACCAGATAATCAATCTGGCTTGCAAAGAAAGCAGTCTCAAGGAAAGCGAAGCGCGGACTTTGTTCCGGGTAGAAGCAATACGCAGGCTTGTATGGTATTGACTACAAGTAACCGAATTACTTGTAATTGATTAATCCCGGGAGTAGTATTGTGATCAGTCGAGCACTTTTATTACATTGAAATCACGATGCTAGTCGGAATACTCTTAAAAGTTCTAAAATTACTTTTGACCATTCCTAGTTTCCTCTCCCCTTCCTTATGGCTCTGTTTGTTTCCACAACCTCGCTACAAGGAATCTCCACGACCAAGTCCCCGACAAGAGACACGGTCTACCAAAAGTGGTGGACTTAGAAAATGAGAAGTTCTTAATCCGGAGATTCTATTCATAAACTGCACAAAAGACCCGTTTCGAAACCGGCAAAAAAATATGCGATCCCATAATGCAATGCACGGTTACGCCGTCGCCGACGGCAACGCCGCTAGCTGGAAAATTTGCCCGCTAAATTTAGCGGTAAAAGTTTTTGCTAAATTTAGTGGGGAAATTTTTTGCCCAATTTCAAATCAAAAACAGCTTCCGAGTGCCTGACAAAAGCGCTTGAGGCACGCAATATTTGACGCCGAAAAGAAGCCGTTTGTATGGAAATCGCTCGAGTGCAGAGTTGTCGATGCCAGATTTACTCTCGACGTCGCCAGAAGTAACCAGCGTATTTGTTCAAAGAAATAAAGTTCTGCCTACACAAATTTATGACGTGGTGCATGGCATTTGACGTGAGTCAAGATTGCTGGAGGTTAATTTTCTTGCTCAATTTATTTTATTTCGTAAATCATACGGAATACAGACGAGCAGACTTCAATTGGCGGATTTGTCCCTTATCTCATATTCTCGGTACGTTCTAAGAAAATGTCCGTGTAACAAATATGTTTCTAAGGTCAACATTGTGAAATGCTGCTAATGAATACTTTAGGAACCCTGATAGTTAAAACTTTTCAACAGGGCCTAGGATGGACCCTCAAAACATCTCTCGACTACTTAATATTTTTAAAGAAACCGATGTAGACCATATCACTTCTCTTTTGCATACAATGCGTCCTCACATGGGGGTTCACCGGTTGGCAATTTTCACAAAACGTTAGTGTTCCTCGGAAACCGAAAAGTGAGCATAAAATGGTGGTGCGAGTACATCAGGTATCTGCGATTGAGCACATTTTTAGTCAGGTCGTCGACTTGATTTTTTGCTGTGCCTTCAGAGTTAGCCTCTTTATTAGTTTATTTTTATAGAAACTGGTATTAGCGGGCCCATCCAGTATGGCTGTAGACAACTGTAATCCTCCCCCGGCATCATTTCAGTCATTTCGCCGTTGAACCTGGCCGAACGAAGAATATGATGAAATGGAGGCGTTAGTAATAACGTTCACAATTTAGGCTCGCAACTACGTTGTAGTTCTCAGGGTGTCCCATTACCAGTGTATCATTGGTTCTGTACTACAAGGAATATCTTTATTTCACAAAACTAAGCGAAAACGACATAACACAAACAACAAAGCCGCGAACCCGCCGAACCCGAAACCAACCAATTTGAAGCCACTTTATGGCGCCGCAAGTGTCAGCGCCCTCTGTCCACAGGTCAGGTGAATACTGAACTGGGAGATCGGTTGCCGAGTGGGCTAGCGCACACCAACTCGGAGCACGTGGAGCGAAAGCTCGCGCTACAGAACACATGACCCTGGGTTCAACCCCACCCCTGTCCATTTTGATCTGGATGAGCATCGTACCGGCGTGCGGTCGTGTATCACTACTGTGTGGTGCACGTTAAAGACCACAGGCTAGCGGTTGTACTGCACTGGCTAAATTTCTCCTCTACAGCTGGGAGACTCGTCGCCTGTTGAGGCAGACCAAGTTGTAGGCTGTATAAACATACACACAACCCAATTTTTTTTTTTACTACTGACTTGAAAACGTATATAATTAGCAGAAATTTAAGGAACCGTTTTGCATCTCTGATTGGTACATATATGATTGCCAAACGACGTGTGCGAAAACAGGCTCTTGGTTCGACCACAGATATGCAATTCCGCTCACTGAAACAGAAAGAAGAGGCTGGAAATATGCCCGAAATAAACCATCGTTGCGTGCTTGAGGAGCGATGCGTGACGTTTTGGCTGAGGAAGTGGCAAAAGCTTGTACACGATTCCAACGGCCGACTCGTCTGGCTTTTGCGTATGGCCGAGGAGATAGCCAACTCCCAAAAACGCAAGAATCGCCTGGAGGGAGAAGGTCCTCTAAACATTGGGCAGACAGCGGGCTCACTATGCTATGCTCTGGCAACAGCGACTTGACGACTTTATTTCACCACGACACGGCACCACCACGACCGCGGAGCCGTGGACACCACCAGGGGCGGATTTAGAGGGGGGGGGGGTCCGGATGTCCTGACCCCCCTCTAGATTTCTGCTTGTGTAAATTTTAGGGCGTAAAACGAAGGAGAGGGGAAGGGGGTTCCTAAACATATGGTACGCTGACCAACACCTGATCCCCCCCCCCCCCCCCTTTCATGAAATTCCTGCATCCGCTCCTTGACCACACACCACGACGACGTGCGACCGGCGGGCACGCTTTTTGCGAATGAGTGGGAAACAGGAAACAATAAGACGACGACGATGATGGCGCATGCGCGGCTTGTCACCGCACGGCGCACTAATTTCCTGACGCAGCACGCCGCAGCACGCCGCATCCCGTCACCTCGCGTCTGTGCCTTCGTGCCCCCTGCAAAACCGACCGTGGCTTCCCGCAGTGGTTGGCGCCAGGCTATGGTGCCTGGAACGCTTCTCCGACTGGTGTGTTTACCGCGGCCAAAAAAGTGGTCCCCCGATTTCCGCCTGATGACGTCATAGAAGTGTCATGATGTCGCGGGTCGCGACCCTGGCGGCGTCTCAACAGTTGTGGTACAAGTAGCAGACGCCTGTTCTGCTGCAGGTCGCTCTCCACTGTGACAGCTCATGGAAGCTAGAGCAGCCGGAAGTTGGGACGCCTGGGACGCCGTGATGGCAGCGACACTCGCGTTCGCTCGTGCTTTTCCCCAGCATTTCTACGGCCAACCGCCAGGATCGCGGCAGGCAACAACATGACACTCCGGCTTCTGTGACGTCATTTGTTGCCACTCGGGGACCACTTTTGATGTATGGGCGGGATAGGACGCTAAACAAACCAGTCGAAGACGCGATCCAGGCACCATATCCAGACTGGCACCAGTGCGATACTCTGCATATACAGTTACATTAGGTGGCGCCATCTCGGAGCGCCATCCCGCAGTAGCTATATAAAGCAACTTTCATGTTTTGACTCGCCGTAACGGGCTGTTCTGTTCTCACATATAGGCTTGGGACGCAAACCTTCCGGGTTTCAAGGGTGCGTTTTCCAACCCAGAAGGTTAGAAGGCATGAAGAGGGCAGGAAGTCGTTTCTTTAAAGCTTAGCCAAAAAACGAAAAAAAGAAAGTAAACAAGGCGAACATTCACTAGAACACAATTCGTTAAACACCATGAGGCCTGGTGCTAATAACGCGTAAATATATGTATATATATATATATATATATATATTGTTTTAGTTGAGTTTCGTTTACGGCCAGACGCACGGGGTATTTAGGGCGGCTGTGGAGCGAAAGGAATCTGTATGTCGTTGCGCGTTGCCGTGATGAGGCTTTGCTGTGTGAGCGGCAGCAAAAATTGAATCGGCTGTTCTTCCGCAGGGATTTCGTTTCATCGGTAATGTCCGCGTGCATTACATTCCGAATTTTGCACTGAGCTGAAATAATTAGTGATCCTCCGCCGCTCGCCGAACTGAGTAAGCGATGAGTTTCATTCCCCGATTGCCGTCGCTGCAATGCAATGACTACCCATCGAAGAGGATCCCCGTGCGTGGACTCCGTGGCCCTGTGCACTTCAATACAGATTACAAGAGCGTATCGAAGTAATTGTAGAGCCGGACTCTTTTAGGGACAGTTTATACGTTCACTTCTTCTATTCAGGAACGCTTCCCCCCTACCCGATGGTAAATAAATAACATATCTGGGACGTTTGGGTGATGGAGAAAGATGTAATTGTTACTTACAAAAATACATCGGGTGCGAACACGATAGGTTCGCGCTTCCCAGACGGCATGACACATGTACAGCACTGAAACACACACACACACACACACGCACACACAAAACTAAATTACAAAAGAAAGGAAGCTGACGCTCCGGACTTTCAGTCGTTGGCTGGCTAAACGTCTCAAACTCAGCTAAGGAATCAATATATGTGAAGCGTAAAACCGAGTTACATATTTTACGCCAGTCATGATATCTTTATACAGCCACACGCTTGTTCCGCTCTGGTTTCGGAACAACTATCTAGTTCATTCGCAAATCCGTGAGGTCACACGCAATCGGCGCTCGATGTTTTTCTTCGGTTGCGATAGCTTACCAACGCGAGCACCAGTCGACGTACGCGAGCAAATTCATGGCGATCATGCTTTGCGTGGGTGTCCAACAGCGCACCTATCAACAGCCTTGCTCCGTCCACTAAGAGCATGAAGACAATCGTAGATAATTGTCGAGTTATCAACAAAGGCGATGAGAAGCGAACGCCACGCATGCTTGCACTCGTCGAGAGCCACTATAAGCCACCAACAACCGCGAGCATCATGGGAAGGACCTCATCTGCAAGGAGGTTTGTTTTAGTTTGGCGCGGGCAAGGACGATAGAAGCTACGTGACTGACTGTAGAACCATCTACGACCGCGAGAGTCACGGGATAGAGGCCTTCAGTTTAGAAGGTTTGTTTTGGTTTGGCGCGGGGGAGTGAAAAAACGTGCGAAAGGGGCGAGCGTCAAGAGTGTGTAGCTTGCAAAAGCTGCAAGGATGACGCCATGGCCTCTTGAGGTCTTCTAACATTCTTGTTCCGAACTGAGCGCTCTAACTGAAGTTCTAGTTACGTTGACTTATGGTCACGTCTTCCTCCTCGGCCAGTGCGCAGGCGTTTTTTACAGTTGTTTAGGAGATCGGTGGCCGAGTGGTCAATTGACACCAGCTTGGAACACGTAGAGCGAAAGCTCGCGCTGCAGAACACAGGGATCCGGGTATTCAATCCCCACTCCTCGCCGTTTTGATCTGGATGAGCGCCGTACCGGCGTGCGGTCGTGTATCACTACTGCGCGGTGCACGTCGAACGCCCCAGGCTAGCAGATGTACTGCACTGGCAAAATTGCTCATCTACAGTGGATAACAACGTCACCATGTTCTGGCAGACTAAACACCTGCTGTATAAACAATTAACGACTTTTTCTTTGATTTTAACATTCTTCGCCGATTTATGCATATGACCTTTTTGTTTTTAGTACATCTCCATTTATTACAATCTTTTTCGGCAAAAACTGAAGGCGCCGCTCCTTATGTGCGTAACGGCGGTTCGTGTCCGTCGTATTTCCAGCCTCTACGTCCTGTTTCGTTGAGCAATTATATGCATTTTAGTGATCGAGGCGAGGACGCGTTTTTGTACACGTCGTTTGGCGATCGTATTCGTACCGATAGGAAATGTAACACGGTTGCCTAACACTCTCTACTGTCCTTTTCTGCTTGCAGGTACGGCGAGCGAAACTTCCGTAAGCAATCTGTACATGGACACATTGCTGAAAATCGACGGGCCCCCGGGAAATGAGGATTATTTCGAAGTCCCCGAATTTAATGTAACCGTGAGGAAGTACGGAGTTGTGAACCCGAAGTTGAGTGTAACTTTTAGAGACGGAAGTCTGTTAAACTGTGGGACCTTGGAACGCCGCGGCGACTGCGAGGGTCCGGTGAGACTGGTCGGATCGGCGTACATCAAGTGCACAGTGCTGCTGCGAAGTTTCGAAGTACTCTACCGCGGAGGCGAATACACGTTCCATTTTGGGACGTCAATAGGAGGGCCTGCAAGCGTGGATGCAAGCATTCTCGATACCAAGGCCAAAGTGGAATTTCGTCATTTCAAAGGTACTGGCTACCTTGGCATTTGTTTTTGTTGTTTCGTTCCGAGGAAAAGCCTATCCGCGTGCTTTTGTAGAATAGCTACGCATTATCAGTGGGCATTTCCAGACCGCCGAAAGTTCTGCAATACATACTCTGAATTTAGGGCAAGGTTAATACAACGTTTCACCGGTATACTTCAACGAAATTGAAATATAACAGCCGCGTTCAGAAATAGGCTGAAAATGATTTACAAGATCCGTAAATGACAATCGCACGTTTGTATTTTGAGCCTGATGGCTGTATTTTTCGTTATAAACGACCCACTCTGGCCAGCGCTCCGAGAGCAGCCAGCGAAGAGCACGTGACATCTGCCGGAATCGTGACGTATATTGTGTCGGGTCGAGGACAGGGAGTGAACACTCCCTATAAGCCCGGCCTACATGAAGTAGGCCGGGCTCATAGGGACTATTCACTGGCGGCCATAGCTGTGTGCGCGACTGCTGAGAGCATGAGAAGGGCGAGCTTTTACAGTTCTTTTGCAACCTGCATTGCACACCATCAAGACGGGCCATCTTAGCAGCCTATTAATGTGAGCTCGTTCTGAGCATGCGCTCTAAACAGTACCCACAAATACGGCGTCCAGTGGATACTCCCTATTGAAGGCACTCAACTCCCTCGCCGTAAGCGATGACTAAAGGCCTGTTCACACAAATGCGTCCGTAGCGACCGCGACGACAGGCAAAACCGAAACGACCGTTGCAAAAGGGTCTTCAACCGTCAGTTGCCATAGCGACGGGGAGACGCACTGCACGTGTCGTTCACGACGCAAGGAGTTGGAGCGAGCCCAACTTTTTCCGCTGCGTTGGAAACAACCGAGACAACCGCAACGACAGACCAATCGCAGGTCGAAGAGAACTGGTCGCGCGCGTTGCATGCCGGTCGTGCCGCGCTCCTTCTATCTGCAAACACGGCGTTGGTGGTGATCGTCGACGTGGACGGCGTGGTGAAAGCTCATCGTTCCGCGTAAAAGCGCTATCCTTGACTGTGAATTTTCGTCGTGTGTCGCTATGATAACCCAGCACGTACTAGAAGGGAAGATTCACCTACTCGTGCGGCGATGTCGTGGCGGCACTCTCAAGACAGCAGAAACGCCCTTGCCGTCGCGTTTGTTTACTTCGACTACGGTGGTGCTTTCTAAGCATTTGTGTCCTCGAACATCGCCCGGATTTCTTATTTAACGCATTTCATGCGTGTGCTCAAGTTCAAGGTATTACTGGCGCGTACAACGATGCGAATTTTCGCGCGTTTTCATTACCGGAGAAAAGTGATTAGTGTTAGCAATCCTGAACGCTCGCAACGTCTATCTGATCACGAAATCACATTTTTACGTTGGTATATCACTGCTAAGATTACATCGTCTATTATAATCGTTGAAAAGGCGTGTGGCGAGATTTGTACTATTGGCAAAGTCGTGTATTAGAGTCTTGAACGTCCAAGACGGCGTACTGCATCTTTTTCTTTTCTTTTTTTCATACTCTATACCCCGCAAGCCTATCATGAAAAAAAATAATAATAAAGCTTTAGGCTATAAAAATCTGTCTCTCTATATTCTGTTACTGCATTGAGTGGCAGTGCGTCCCCTTTTAGAGGCACCACTGAAACAGCTGACGGCGACGTAGAAGCGGTCGCCGTGCTGACGACCCGCTGCGCTTGTTGCAGTGGTTGCAGGTGCGTGTACGCGCGGCGCAGAGCGGTCGTTCCGGTCACTCCGGTTGCAACGGACGCAGTCTCATGTAACCGACGTGTGTGAACGAGCCTTCAAATCAAAAGTTGCGCCCCCCCCCCCCCCCTTTTACCGGTCTTTCTATTTTTTTTTTTCTGATAAATAAAGTATTGTCTCACTCACTCACACTTACTACGACAAAAGTTTTTCGAGAATCGGCCGTTTTTCAAACATTTGCGACGGAAACGTCCGTTTCTTGACAGGTCTCGAGATGCCTACTGTAGGCGACGAACGCATGATGGACGCATAGGAATTGACTGAAATATGCCGTCTACAACAGATGGAATCGTTTGCATAATGATACGAGTTTGATCCTTCATTTATTGGGAATTTGGCGGGTCTAAGAAAACTCATTAGGTTCATAAAAACAAATTGCATTGGCGTGCGATGCGGGATACTGTCTAAAGAAATTCTCCACACCTACGGAGATTTGCTAAAAACGCTTCGAGGGAACCATCTCTTTAGAACATGATATAAAAGTAGCGTCAGGCCCCCTTTTTGATTTTTGAGTTGACGTGCATTGTAATGAAGGAGCAGTTTTTTCGACTTTGACATTGACGGTTTGAGATATCAAGCTTTATTTTTCAGTCATGCAATATGAGTGTGTTTCGTACCTGCTTGTTATCATTAAACACACAAAAAAGAAATCTCGCTAAACTTTCCGTTTTCAGTAAGATAACAAGTAGCGAAAGAGGCGGAGAATAACATCGGGTTCGTTAAGTACCTCTTACGGACTGTTCGTTTGATCACTGAAATGTGCGGTGAAGCAGCTTTTGTGCTATTACAACTTCTCGAAATGCGTCTTGGCCAGCACTGCGACCTTAATACACTTCACATCGTCATCCTACGTGGTTCGGCTTCACAGTGTTTTCATTACAGTGTAGTTTTCACCTTTCTTAAATTTTGCGGAACCCTCCACGGACAGGCGTTCGCGCGCGCACACACCTCGAGCGTGGATTAACGATGTGCACGGGCACCTCTTCACTTCTAAACGCCCACAAAAAGTTGACCACGAGAATAGAAGTTTCGTTGCACGCACGTCAGCAACTTCATTGAACCCGGTCGAGTAATCTTTCAGAAGGAACCACTGAGCCAGCGAAGCCATCGTGTCGTCAGCTAGCAAGACAAAACCGGCTCTGAAACTTCGTTACGGGCGCTTATCATCACTTTATGACAGTGAGACAACCTAAAAGCTCTTCATGATTAGATATCGTAAGAACACAACAGTTACGAACATTTTTTTTATCAGACAATTTATAATATCAGGTACAGCCCTCATGCATTTGTTTATAACAAGGGCCTAATATGCTTCGTTTCATCAAGCGCATCATCATGAACCGTCATGATGTTCATCATGTTTCTGTACGTATTCTATCATCGCTGAGCCAATCATAAACAAAAAAGCCAAGTGATTGGCACTCTTGATGCAGCTTGATTAATTCGATTAGCTCGTAGCTTCAGCTGCGTCTGAACTTATGCTGAAACTAACTATAGCAACGGTTTGTTTTGAGCACATCATGCCATGTTTTGACATCACCACTTCAGGGGACAATTCCCCTTTCTAGTTTCTACAAAAGTGGCTGTCGTTATGAACCGTTACAAATTATTTCGTCCGATTTGACTTTTGGAATAAAATATAAATATGTGTTCTTTAACAGCTCCATGTAAATGGCATAGTTTCAAGAACTAGAGGTGCTGATTTCCCTGTTCCATTTTTTTTTATCTTGTTACAGGAAACCAGACAGAGGAAGTGCGAGTGACTGTGGACGAAGTCGGCATACAGCTGGGACACCTGATGCCATATGTGAAATACGTTCCCCAAGAGATCATGTTTCGAGATGCGGTGCAGTCGAAAATGAACGAGACGCTGTCGAACGTTATCCCCGAAATTCTGGCTGACCGAATAATCTTTGCGATGGATCACGTGAACTTCCCCCTCCCCTAATAAAGCTGATGCACACCTTCCAGTTGCTTCCTTTGCGCCTGAATCCACGCGAAACTACGGATACTACTTACCACGTGTGACTAGAGAACACAGAGGAGGGAAGACAGAGCCAGGATATGGCACTAGGGAATACATCTTACTGAACGAAAATCCAAAGGCCTTGGATCCGACAGATTTGAGTAGTTGAATTGGCTGAACGAGTACAGCCTCGGGGTTTTCTCCTTTGAATAGACAACTTCCTAAGGTACTGAAAGGTATAATAAAAATAACAAAATTATTAATATTTTATTTTTCTTTAGTGCCCACAAACAGCTGTAACACCTTTTGTGGGGTGCACTGTAATTTCGTGTTTACATGTCAACACAATTTAAAATACAAACATGAAAACAATTCCACAGAGATTTGTAAGGGCACAAATACAAGTTTTCAGAGCGAATACAGCCTTACACTAACTCTTGGTTAGAAAGAATACACTTTTGCAAGCCCAACTTGAAACCAACAAAAAATCAAGAAAAACATCTACGTCACAATCGTATATAATACTAGAGAGAGAGGCTGCATACGGCATAATAGCGATGATTCACAAATTATATTATAATAAAATATTAAAAAATAGCGACTAGCTCTGGAGAGTACAAGAAGGTCTATTATCATCAGTAAATTATCAGTTTTAACAGTGCCATGCACTATACCTTGTTAAAAAAAAGGAATGGCGCTAACAGCCCTCCTCGTTGATAGCCTTTCAAGGCTAAATAAAGACAGCAACAAATCGTAACTAAAAACAGTTTCCCACAAATGTATCTGTCATAAATAATATAAATAATTCGCATAAATTTCTTCTGCACACGCTCAGTCATTTCAGTTGTGTTAAAGATAGTGAATTCCAACTAATTGCACCAAATTCCAGGCTTGAGCGTAGAAGGCTAGAGAACAGACGCACTACAGATTATGGTGAATTGAAAGAACTCAGTGATAACCAAGTGATCATACCTAACTTTCTTATCGCTGATCCAACGATCTTAGAAACGTGCGCAATGAATGATAGAATGCTATCAATATAGACGCCAAGCTCTCTTACCAGAGACGCTAAGCTATCTTACCGACTGCCTCTAAGGGAGGCTTTGCGAGGTAAGTCTCTAAACCTCTGGGTCGTATTACCTGTCTCTTTCGGTCTCGCTCATGAAGATTGCTTAATACGTTCATGAGATGAGAACAGTGCGATATATGACGAAGTCCTAAACAAAAAGGGTTGTTTCGCTGTGCTTGGGATTTGTTTTGTAGAAGGTCGTGTATGGTGAGAAATGTGCGTTAGGTATTTTGTTACGGATGTCTTTCGAGTTGAACAGTAGTGTTTCTTGAAAAGATGACCTTGAAAATACCTTTTCTTGAAAAGACCAGGGGATGTGAAGAGAAGAAGGAAGACTGCGTCAAATTAAATCATTGTTGTGCGGGTTATGATACGGTGTTGTTCTGTCCTTTTAGCTGCTTGTCTCTGGGCTTTTCTACCAGAAATAACTCGTTTGTCGTCTTCATCGTTGTATGTGATTTGTCCTGTGTGAATGATGAAAGACTGTTCATTGATGACAAAAAGTGATTTTGTCTCTTGAAGGCTATGCTGAAGGAACTCTCTGTCCTCATTTGTGACTCACGCAGTCAGAACGCCCGCGGGTGTGCGGCAAGTCTAATACGCTTTGCAAGTGAACTCAAGGACGTACCTTGCGCGTGAGAACGTCAAAACAATATCTCGAAACACAGGATGAAAGAAGGCTCGTTAATAAATGAGACGCATGAGGTAACGCGCTGGCAAGGCAACCGAACACGCGCTATTTTTTATTTTGTTTTACCTGAGGAGAAGCAAATAAGTGCATTTGATAGATAGTTAAATGCAGGAGGCGTGTAGATAGCAGGCGTCGCATATTCTTCGGGCGTATGTGCACAGTTGCAGGTAGTGTTGGTCGCTTATAAAATGTGTACGATTTAAACCAAGCTACTGGTTTGGCAAAACGGTCTGTAATGCTGAAAATTTCCGAAAGGTTCTGGTTTTGTACGCGTTATGGAGTCTTTTATTTGCCTAACTCGAGTGAAGCCGAGTCTTTCAATGCACTTCGTTCAATATACTAGAACATTTTAGTACAGCGTACGCTAAGGATTGCGAGCGTTGCAGGCGCGTTCTCAATCCATGCTCAAAGCGACGGCACGAGCTCCCGCTAGCGACGTAGCCATTGCCTACGAAACTCTATTTACACACAGGGAGAGGGGAATTCTAACGTCTTCCTGCTCTCAGCGAAAAAAAAGTTGATATTTAAGGGAGTACTCCCACGATATTCTTTGCGCTACCCTAATAAACTATACTTTTGAAGTCACCGGCTTTTACACTTTCTGGTATATTATTTAGTAGCATGAAATTACGAATAGTTATTGAGAAATACACAAATAAATGTGATTCCAAAACCAACGTTCAAATATTCCCGCAAATATATCCGGAGAGTCTAAAAATGGACTATGCCGAGCATTTGTTTCGTGATGCTGCATGGGTGGTGGAGAGAGTTTCCAGAGCTTTTATTTGAAACCGTGAAGCTGCTTGTATTTAGTTGGCAACAAAGTCTACATTCCAAAGATCGAACCCCTGCCTTCCCATTAGAACAGGTTTCTTTTGTTGCTAGTAGAGACTTCAATTTAGAAAAATACGGCGACGACCAAAATTTTAAATTCAACAACTTCGCGAGGAAAGATACGTTGGTTCAATATTTGGTTTACAAATTCAGCGATGTTTGATGGTGTTTCTAGCAAATGTTCAGGGAGATCGAGGACTACGAAGAAAAGGCAGGAGTACCCCTTTAGAAGCAGCATTGGCTCTAAATAACTTTTAACCAGATTGAAAATTAAAGCAAAGTGGACGTGTTAACAGTTTTATAAATCTTGAATACACTTAGATAAATGTATAAACCATGGAGTACACATTATTTACCACCAATGATTCTTCAAAGAAAACGTTTAAAACAGAAAGTAATGCATCGGGAGACTGTATAACAACTACAACATGACTTTTCTTAAAACGTCACGAGCTTAGCAGAGCGATATCACAAAATCGTTCCTGGCGCAAATAATCTCGCAAATAGAAGAGTATTAATTTATCGGCACTCTGTTCCCCAATATTGTAGTGGGCGCCACATCTTGGTGGTTGTCCAGAGCGGACGCAACTGCCGATCGTCGGGATTCAAAAGGGCAACTTTCTCAGCATTAGATTGGATGTTAAAAAGCTCATGTAATATTGCTTTGCTCTGTCGCAGACTGTTTAAACATTTGTGGAGGAAGGAAAATCGTTGTCTGTCATTTCAGATAAAGCTTCACATAACTGGCAACCCCGATTTTAAGCCACAAGATGGTTATGTGTCGTTACTTTGAAGCGTGGCTTACTTAGTGGTACTGGTTATCAGTATCTAAATGGTGATGCAACGACAGGACGATAGGGTAAGACCCTCTCAAATCTTTAATGAAGTGAAGGAGTTCTTCGGGTGTTGATACTTCCAGGTCAGTTCGCTTTGAGAGCAACAATGTGCACTCTAAAATTTCTTTATACAAATCATGTGCGTTGACGTCACAGTTGTAGACTTCTCCGAAACTGCACAATTTTTTAAAGTCAACCTTGTCGGTACCGTAGCACAGTCCGTCGATATCCAGGAGGAAACCAAACACGGCATCGGCGTCGTGCAGGCGAGTAAACCTCTCGTTGATTTTTATATGACGACGATCGAGTCTACATTTTATGCCACTTTTTTTTATTTCCTGCTCGGTCGCAAAGCCGTTTCCTTTAATATTTTCTCCCAGCATTTTCTTGTTATTTCATCTGGCACACCTCCCAAAATAGATTCCCCACTCTTCTCAGATACAAAGCTCTTTATCAAGTGACTCGCCTGCCAGCGTTTCTCTTTCACCATAAAAATAATCTTAGGGCGCTTTCATGTCTAAGGCTCCATCGTGAAAGTTAGCTTTCTTTTTAATTTTGCAGTCTTTTTTTAAACGCGGTTTGTGCGAATCAGCACTTTGTTCCAAAAGCCGTGAAATATCAGCAGCTCGTAATTTCCCCACCCGGCTGCACAAGAGCTACTCTTCCGTCACTTCTCGCTGGTTTTAGTTTAGTATTTATTATTTTCTATTGAAGTACCTCCAAAGAAAGACAAAAAGAAACCGAGGCGCTCGCAGTTCTTTATGAAGAGCGGAAAACCGGGGGGGGGGGGGGGGGGGGGGGGGTGATAGGTGTTTGGATTTTGCAGCACAGCAAGCAACGTTGTTGTTCTTGGCCTTCTCACCATGTATTTCTGCTATTTATGAACTACACTTTGTACAAAGCTTCTCAAAAGAACGCAGCCGTGCAACTATACCACAGTCCCCTTACTGTGGGGTGGCGCCAGCGTACACAAACATGGCGGCGACCATCGAGCAGAGAACGTTCTGGTATTTTTTTTAAAGTGAGAACACAGTAGAGCAGTGTTTGACAAACTGTGGGTCTCGACAGAATCAATGGGTGGTCGTTGAAGCGGTTCGGGAACTCGAAAACAATTCAAGCTTGTCCTTTTTGCTGTGACGTCGATAAAAACCAAATACAGGTCGGAGCTCAACATCAAGCAGGAACTAATAATTCCGGTGTCTAAACTCAGCCCTCGTTTGGGAAACTGTAGGGGCCAAACAAACAAGTTAACTCTAGACATTAAGAGCAGTCATCCCGGTTGATACGCGTTTGTGTTGCTATTTTGAGATGGTTCCTTGCCCAGTCGAATTCACTCTTGCTATGTAAACTAAAAATGATGTTTCATCTTTAATTTGTAAGTCTTTTCGCTCATTCACTGAAAAATAGAAACGTAAGACATTGCGAGCAGCGCAGTGCCTTTTTTACAATCTAACTAAGGGCTTCCTACTAGGATTCTCGTTGGCCGGGTGCAACCCTTATGTGGCGTGCGGAACACATGCCCCTGCCCCAAGCCGTGCCACACCTTACTTACATCACGGGTCCCCTGCAGGAGA